TTCGATCTGAAGGCTGACATTCACATGGTCAGCAAAAAAGAAGATTCTCAGCCGGTGTCCGCGACTTTACCGGTTAAACACAGTCGACACAGAAACATTAACGCGCTGGCCATCTGCAACAAGAAAATTAAATAATATTAAATTGCAAATTCACAAGGAATCTACGTTCCTGTGGTTGGCTGTATACCATGTATTAAAAATTTAATTAAAAATCCTTTGTAACAGGTATATATTTAAGGCCCAAACGGGCTAAGTTAAAAAGACATAACGTTTCCGGAAACCATGTTCCATCATCAGTGTCCTAGAAAATAGTTAACCACTTAATTAAAAAGAACATAGGTTAAAATTTTGACTAAGGTTAATGAAAAATGTAGTTAATACTTACTAGGAGTACATGAATGTAGCCACCAAGATTAAATATATGGGTAAAAACCCGTTAACAGATGTTTAATTACATTTAGTTATAAAAATATGTTATAATAATTTAGGATTATAGAGTTACCGATGGATTAGGTAACATGGCGACATATGACTCCACGTTGAAGTTGCTAGTCCTGAGACGGTATGTCTTCGAGGACTGTATGAGTGCAACTGATTGGCAATGACATTTGATGACAATATTGTTAAGTTATGACAGAAATTATCACAGAGCAGTCAATGTAGCTGTATGTTTCTACTTAAGACAAGAGCCAACGTTATTTAAAATTGTGAAAATTAAGTAAACTAATATAACAGTATCAACCATCAATGTTATAGTTTTAATTTTATGTAAATAAGATGATATAAGGGAGCAAAAATTGTATGGTTGTAGTTAGGCAACCAACTATACATGTATGTAGCAATGTAATATAGAAAATTTTTTTATTATATGGCCCTTTATGTTTCTTAAACATTTGGTACCCAGAAAATATAAACTAGACAAATGTGGAAGGTTGAATTTTAGAAATTTTGATGTTAATGGTTGGATCTAAATGTATTTATTTATAATTGGAAGTGTTCTTGTATGAATAAAATAAAACTGTTTTAGTAAATGTTCATGTGTTATTTAACTTTTAACTCAAATATAGAGGCCCTGTATGTCAGAAGCAACATTTGGTACCTGGCAAATGTGAAAATTTTTGAGTTATAAGTTCTTGAACATAAATGTCTGACAAGGTGGTAACAGACTAAAAGGTGTGGAAGTTTTATTGTATTAGCTATTATATGTAATGAACGAAAGATTTTTTGATGGTTGGGACATGATTATGTAGTATGTTGATAGTGTGATAATTTACTGTCATAAGGCAACACTAGGCACAAAAGAAATAAAAAGGATAAGTTATAAGTTAGGTTTGTTGTAGGTATAAGTTGTCTTAAATTGTGATGATGGTATGGTTGGCTTTGTTGATATTAAGTGAAACGAAAAAGTGTTTGTAGTGTCATCTTTGCAGATGAATAAGTTATGTAATTTGATATTATTCATATTCATTTGACATTTACTAAAACAGTTTTATTTTGTTCATACAAGAACACTTCCAATTATAAATAAATACATTTAGATCCAACCATTAACATCAAAATTTCTAAAATTCAACCTTCCACATGTGTCTAGTTTATATTTTCTGGGTACCAAATGTTTAAGAAACATAAAGGGCCATATAATAAAAACTTTTTTCTATATTACATTGCTACATACATGTATAGATGGTTGCCTAACTACAACCATACAATTTTTGCTCCCTTATATCATCTTCTTTACATAAAATTAAAACTATAACATTGATGGTTGATACTGTTATATTAGTTTACTTAATTTTCACAATTTTAAAACACGTTGGCTCTTGTCTTAAGTAGAAACATACAGCTACATTGACTGCTCTGTGATAATTTCTGTCATAACTTAACAATATTGTCATCAAATGTCATTGCCAATCAGTTGCACTCATACAGTCCTCGAAGACATACCGTCTCAGGACTAGCAACTTCAACGTGGAGTCATATGTCGCCATGTTACTTAATCCATCGGCAACTCTATAATCCTAAATTATTATAACATATTTTTAAAACTAAATGTATTTAAACATCTGTTAACGGGTTTTTACCCATATATTTAATCTTGGTGGCTACATTCATGTACTCCTAGTAAGTATTAACCACATTTTTCATTAACCTTAGTCAAAATTTTAACCTATGTTCTTTTTAATTAAGTGGTTAATAATTTTCTAGGACACTGATAATGGAACACGGTTTCCGAAAACGTTATGTCTTTTTAACTTAGCCCGTTTGGGCCTTAAATATATACCTATTACAAAGGATTTTTAATTAAATTTTTAAATTGCAAATGTTAAAATGGTATAAACATTTTAATAAAATATGTTTTAAATGTCGTTTTGTTGGTTGGACTATGACTGTTTTAACATGGTTTCCTTCAGTTTGTTACTAAATATATACTAAAGAGAGACCACGCTAAACGATGAGTCCAGATCAAACTGCAAAGTAGGTTAAAACACAAAAACGAGAATAAAGACATCCAATTAACTTAATCTGGGATAATATACAGTTTTTTTAAAATTTATATTTATAATTGGCACACCTTTTTTTTCAAAAACTTTAGCTTACGTGGCCTAAACTTGACGCAAACTTGTCTTAATACACGTTATAGCACGGTAAGCTATTATTTTGATGTTTCAAAATATAAGGTAGTAATTTCATTCACGATAACATTTTTATACCATACTAGTATCTGTTCACAAATTGTTGATAGCATGAACTGTGCCTCAAAGTCATAAAACGGTCGTTAAATTTGTATCATCATAGGCGTTCCTGAAGTGTTTATTCATTAAAATTAATATTAATATTAATAATGTTTTAATACTAATATATTTAGCAAAAAACAATTAAAACTTTCACGGTTAATGTTGATTATTATATTATAATTAATAAAAATAAGAATTTAACCATTAACAATTTGTAAATAAGTATACCTTATCTCTTTCGATATTTCAATGCTAATCTTCGAGTTTAATCACTTTACTAGAAAACCTGGAATTCATATCCGAAGGTACTATTCGTTGCAAGATAATTAGGATGAAATTCCCGAGATTTTTAATAATATAATGGGTATAAAGATGCAGGCTTTCTCCACGTGCCTTGTCTGTTCAATTTATACTCGAAACTTAACTTGAAAGGTGAAGTTATTACGAACGAAAACAAATTTCGGTACATTTTTAATGTATACCTCTTAACATACGTATTTGACATATGTAGACGACATTTAAAACTGTTACGCCCCTATAGTTTTTGCAGAGTCGTTTGTCTCCCCCTTTGTATATAGGAAGTATAATGTTTTTAAATGGTGATAGTTCTTGGCAAACGATTTACAAGAGTATTTAGAAGAAGTGAATATTGCAATAAGGCAAAATATGTATGTACAAGATACGAGAATTTCTTTGCAGGCAGTATCCTGGTCGGTGGATTGGAAGGGGTCGTGATACATCTATTTCTTGGCCACCCAGAAGTCCAGGTCTTAACCTCATGGACTTTTGCTTTTGGGGGTGAACAAATGAATAAATGAACATGAACAAATATATAATAGGTAACAATAGAGGACGAACAACAATCGAGGGTTAGAATAATTGAAGCTGCAATCAATTTAGTTGGAAAAGTATGATTTTTCAGCGCATTCGGTTTTCCTTACGATACCGAATGTGTATTGAAGAAAATTTGGGTCATTTTGAACATTTATTGTAATAACATATTTATAAAGGTTATAGACATGTTTTGTACTTGTTAATTCATTTAAGCCATTTATTTAGTTGCAAGTAATTTTTTAAAGGTTAATGAAAAAAAAAAAACTCAATAAAAACTGTTTGTTGAAAAAATGTATATATACAATGCATATAATTCAACAGTTTCTCATAGAACAACAAACCAATACAGCGAAGCTTTTATTCTATTTTAACCATTAATATTACCTTCACAAGATATTTTATTAACATATTGCTTTAGACGAACAATTTACCAACAAGTTCACCAAGTGAAATCCCTATAAAATTAATATGGTCACAATAACGCTCGGATCATATCATCAGTGCTACAGACGAGGTAAAATTGTGGATAAACTCTCCATCTGGAAGAAAATCAATAAGGGATATAATTTTCCTATTTTCCGCAAGAGTTATTTTCCAGCCCTCGGAGATTTATTGCACCTACAAGATGGATTTATCCTTAGGGGTGGATATGCGTTCATTCGTTGCCATTGTGTTGTCAGTAACGGAAAGGTTACTGGCCTGGTTCAAGTTTAAGCGTATATTTCTAGCCAGAAAGTAATAAAAACGTTCATTTTTCAAAAGAAAACAGGGTGATTACTTGAAAACAACATAATATCCAAATAAATTCTACCATGGGGGAGCAGCTGAAGGTCTTATTTGAAATATGAATTCCAAGGAAAAAGTTAAATAAGGATTATCTACAGTATATTTATATATAGAGTGTCTAGAAACTTTTTTTACAAAAGAATATGACGAAAATGTATTATAAATTTTTCTAAAAATTTTGTCCCATTTTTTAAGAGTTTATACTTTATTTGATGTTTTGTCAACTCTCTAAGTGAATTTCCACAGGCAAAAGACCACTGGGAAGTCCCAGAATACGATGGAGAGATAACATCCATGCAGATCTCTGGAAAATGAACATTCCATCTGACCCTAGGTTGATGGAAGATCGAACAAATTGGAAAAAAATTGTACAGTCAGCCAAGACCCCCCAAGGTTATAGTGCTACATGGTGATGATGTCAAATTTTATAATATAATCCGTGATCGGAGCAGTAGCCACTTTCTGTCACTTGCGGTTGCGTGGAATAAATTTCCGACTTATTTCTTTACGTATGCTTTAAATGATGACACACTGGTAAATAACCATGGACTCAACTTTATTATTAATTCTTCCATTCTTCCTATGTCACTCCGTCACTGATCATTGCTATAGCAACCAATCTAGTGCATAAACTTCAATACTATTGTTGCCATAGAAATGTTTAATCGAATTCAACTTGTCAAGAAAACATTTCAACCTATATTAAACATATCGGCATAATCTACTTTAACATTCAAAAAATCTACCCAAACAATAATTTAATTACTAAAATGCCCATAGTTATCAAAGACTATATCTGGAAACAAACCAAATCCGATATAATAGTCCAAGTTCCAATGAAAGGAGTGCATCAATCAAAACTTGACGTGTTTATATCATCAAGATTTGTGAAAGCCACTTACGAAAGAAACTATTTTGAACTGATATTGTTCTCGAAAATCATTGCATCTGACAGTAAATGTATATTAACTCCCACAGAAGTTATTTTTGAGCTAAAAAAGTCCGAAGATATCGAGTGGGATTACCTGGAACCTAACGTGAGCAAAACAGAGAAGTTGGAATTAAAGAAACTGTTCTTAGAGGAGTCATTTAAAGAGATACAAAAGGCTGACGAGAAAAAATGCGAGAAAAAACATGAGTTGAAAAGGCTTGCCGTTAAAAAACAGATTGAAATAGATAGTGAAAATAGAGACACTATTGATAATATACGAAGAGAAGAAGAAAAACGTGCATTGGGTGAGTCAATTATTTACTTTTTTTATTATTTATTTTCTATTTTTCTATCTTTTTAACCAGCTTCTGATTATGAAGTCATGTTTTGTGTTCATCATTGTTGAATTATTCTATTCCATTTATTGTTTTCTTTAGAATAGATGGTAGAGTATACATTGTTTGATTTTCTATAAATATGTTGCTTAACGTAGCATCATATTGTAAAATTCTGATATTTAAGGTATCCTATTTTAAACTTCTTCTTTTTCCCCAGATTTTCCCTCTTCAGGGGTCGCTTTTCCTTACTGTTCGTCGCCACTCATCCATGCCCACAGGGTCTTCTTCACCCAAACCTTTTAAGTCCCCTGCCACACAGCCTTTCCATCTTCTCCTTAGTTTTCCTCTACCTCTTCTTTAATGAACTTTTAATAGCTCTATCCTTCACATAGTTTTTATCTCTATATTCAATTTTTATTTCTCCTATCAATCTCTGTTAACCTTGGGTCTTTCCTTTTCAATAGTTTTTTTCCAACAGTCTAACTTCTTCTCCCACATTTCTTTGCTCTCCTTTAGTAACAGGACTTTACCAGCAAAGAGCAGTGACCAAAGAGCTCCTTCCTTATTTTCTCTGACAGTACATACATACCGAGATTAAACAGGTAATTATTCAGTGAAGACCCTTGATGCAATCTAACCGTCACTGAAAACTTTCGATCAATTCAATAGCAGTCATTAATTTGGTGTACGCTCCCACATACATATCGTTCATGAGCCTTATGTAGTTCTTGGGAACCGAATTCTTGCTTATCTTCTTTTGGTACTCATTCGTTTCGAATATTGACGATCATTTTGGCTATAATTATATTATTAACTGATACTTTAAATAGATTAGTTGTTGTTGTGGAGAACCATTTCCTCAGGTTTTTTAACCATGATATTCTTCTTCACCCAATTCCTCACTTTCCGAATACTTTGCTTTGAAGGATTATTCTCAGTAATCTGTATTTAGTGCTGTTTCTCATTATAATTTCCAGATATTCTAACTTTCTCTTTTTAATCGAATACATCACTTCTCTTTCTTTCCCCATTCTTCGTGGTACAGTCTAGTTGGTTATCTTGTCCATCCATGATATCCTTAAGATTCTTTTGTCTAGCCACATCTCGAAGGCTTCAAGTTTTTTCTCCATCACTTCAGTGAGTGTCCAGAATTCAACTCCGTAGTATAATATAGAGAAGATATAACATCGTAGGAGCCTTACTTTTATCTCCAGATTAAAGTTGTAGCTTTTAAATAGTTAGGCCATGTTGTTGAATGCACTCTTAGCCTTCTCTATTCTACATGTTACTTCTTGTGAGTGATCCCATTGTTCGTTTACTATTGTTCCAAGATAGGTAAACTGATTTACTCGGTCCACTGGTGTATTCTTGATAAGCAGTTGGACGTCTCTAATTTTATTTTTCCTGATGACCATAAATTTAGTTTTTGATATGTTTACTTGTAGTAGTCTAAATCTTTCACTTACTTCATTTACTTTGTTTATTAGTTGTTGTAAACTATGCACAACTGTCTGCAAAATAACGGTGTCATCTGCATAGCGGATGTTGTTTAGGCGTTCTCCATTCAAAGAGATTCCATGTTCGCAATTTTCCAAGGATTCACTAAATATTTCCTCTAAATATAGGTTAAATAATATAGGTAAAAGTATACATCCTTGTCTAACACCTCGCAGAAACTGAATCGCTTCTGTTAATTTATCTTCAAGATTTGCTCTTATTGTGGCTGATTGGTTCCAGTATAAATTTTGAATTATACGCCGGTCTTTATCATCTATTTGAGCTTTTGTTAGAATATACATCATTTGTCGATGGTGAACTGTGTCAAATGCTTTTTGATAGTCCACAAAGCAGGTGTAGATATGGCAAGTCATATCTCTGCATCTTTGAAATAATACCTGTAGGCTAAACAGTGCATCTCTCATACCTACACCTTTCATGAATCCTAACTGTGTGTCTTGTGTTCTCTCTTCGCATAGCTTGTATGTTCTGCTATGTATAATTTTAAGAAAAAATTACTTTGTAGAATTTCGATTTTTTGGCATTTTTGCTCCAGTTCTTTCTGTTTGGCCTCTCTGATCTTTCTCTGTATATCTCGTTGTAATGTTTTATATATAGAGTTATTGTTCTTGTTTGTTCTTCTTTCTTCCATCAGTTGCAGAATCTTTATCGTCATCCATGTTTTATTTTACCTTCTTCGTTCTTCATAAAGTTGTTTTTAATGTCGTCTATCCTCTTATTAAGAGATTCTATCGTCTTTTCTGTGCTTTCAATTGTATTATCGACTTTAAATTTTCTGTTTATTGTTTTGCTGACTATTTCTTTTACTTCACTACATTTTATTTTTTTCATGTCATATTTTTTTTACAGTTTTCAGCGTGTTTTCTTTAACTTGGTTCTATACACGCCCACTAAAGGATTGTTGTCAGATTGAATATCAGCGCCTGAGTAGGTTTCAACACTATTGAAACTATTTCGATATCTTTTGTTAAAAAGTATATAGTCTGTTTGGTTTCTAATAGTAATGTCTTCTCCGTTGTCTCTAGGTGATTTCCACGTATACAGGCGTCTAGGTGGTAGTTTGTAAAGTGTGTTTTTAGCACGATGCAGTCACGTTCAGCTGCAAAGATACTCATTGTTTCTCCTCGTTGACTTCTCTCTCCTAATCCATAATGACTAATATGTTGCCTTGCCCTTCTTTTCCGTTACTTATTTAAGCATTGAAATCTCCCATGATCTTTCTCATACAGCTCCATATCTTGTGTCGACTGTGTCGTAATCCTTCTTAAGATTTATAAATATCAAATGTAGCTTTCTTTTCTTCTTGCTGTATTTCTCTATCAACTATTTTAAAACAAACAAAGTAATACCTTTATCCCTCTATAGTTCCTACAGTTCTAAATGTCCGCTATTTTTACAATGATACCATCACATTCTATCTCTGCATCATGTATTGGGCATCTTTTCTTTCTCATACATCTTACTGGTCATTTAATACAAAATATCAACTCCTCCTTCTCCTAAGCCTACCAAATCTACATAGGTATTCTATCAGGTCCTACTGTCTAACCATTCTTAGTGAGAGCGCCCACCAAAGTGGCGTGGCAGTGGCAAGTAGCAAGTAGCACGCGTCTAGCATAATGTAACCAATCCTAACGAATGATTAGAATGAATGACGTTACTGTCATTTTGGTGTAAACTGAATCATTCGTTTTCATTGGTTACATTATGCTAGACGCGTGCTACTTGCTACTTGCCACTGCCACGCCACTTTGGTGGGCGCTCGCCCTTAATCCTATTTAATGCCTCGACAACTTTATCTCTCGCTATCCCCGTTATTTCATTCGTATTTGGGATCCCGCATCCTTAAAGTACTCATACCATTTTTTCTTTATTTCAACACCGTTCTTAACATTCTTCCATCTGTCCATTCCATTGTACCTTGTTGTAGCAATGCTGTATAACCTGTCCCTTCCCTCGGGTGTTTCCAACTTTTCATACAGTTGTCAGACGATCTTTCCTTAGCAGTAGCTAGTGCGCGCTTTGCTTTCCTCTTTACTGCCTTGTATATATTCTTATCCTTTGCTCTTTTAGACCTGTCATACCTCTTTCTAGTTTCTTTCTTCTTTGTAACCTTATGTTGCACTACATCGTTCCACCACCAAGTTTCTTTGTCTTAAAGAAGGCCTTTACCATATGTTTTTCCTAGCACTTTCTATCCCACTGGCACCACAACTTTACTGTTGGCTTCCTACTAGTCATTTAAAAATTTTTTTCTCTATGTATTAATTAATCTAAGTATTATTTATCTATTCTTTACTTCTTCTTCAAGTGCCGTCTCCATCAATGGAGGTTAGCGGTTATGGTGGCAAACGTTTGTCTATCTTCAGCTGCTCTTAAGAGTTCCTCAATTTCAAGTCCTGTCCAGTTTCTGATATTACGTAACCAGGACAATTTTTTTCTTCCAATTCCTCGCTTTCCTTCTATTTTGCCTTTTATTATCAACTGAGGGATGTAATATTTCTCGTTGCCCAACAAATGCCCTAAATAACTGGTTTTTCTTCTTTTGACTGTTCTCAATAGTTCTTTTTCTAAATTGAGTCTAGCTAGTACTTCTTCATTTGTTTTTCGTGCTGTCCAAGGAATTTTTAAAATTCTACGGTACACCCACATTTCAAATGCCTCAATTCTATTCAGGCTCTTTATTTTTAAAGTCCACGTTTCGACTCCGTAGAGAAGAACAGACCAGATAAAACATTTTACAAGTTTAAATCTCAATTTAATATTTATATGTGTATCGCAGAATAGAACGCGCATCTTAAAGAAACTATCCCTAGCTTGAGCAATTCTCGCTTTAATTTCTTGTTCTGGGTCCAGCTTGCAATTAATCCAACAGCCGGTATTTGTATTGGTTTACCTGTTCTAAAATATTCCCATTTATTTTTATAGGTAAGGGGATATTCTGTTTTCTTTGGATCACCATTACTTTTGTTTTTTTTTCGTTGATCTTCATTCCAAACTCTCGACAAGCATCCTTAAGGTGGTCTATAACCCCCTGTAAGTTTGTGTCTGTATCAGCCAGTAGGACAGTGTCATCTGCATATCTTATGCTAGATATTGGTTCTCCATTAATTTTTATTCCTGTGGAAAGGTTTTCCAAGGCTTGCTTGAATAGTAGTTCCGAGTAAAGATTGAACAGCATAGGGGATAGTATGCATCCTTGCTTTACTCCTTTATTTATACTAATATTTCTAGATGTATGATCGTCAATCCTAATCTTGGCACTCTGCCTCCAATATAAGTTCTTAATTAATCGGAGATCTTTACTATCCAAGTTGATGCTCTGCAAGGAATTTAACATTTTATTATGGTTTACGCGATCAAATGCCTTTTCAAAGTCTACAAAACATAGAAAGACATCCTTTTGTTGGTCGTAACACTTCTGCAGCAGTACTTGTAGTGAAAACAAGGCCTCTCTGGTCCCCATTCCGGCTCTGAATCCAAATTGATCGTATCCAACTTCTTTTTCACACCTTTTGTATACCCTATTGTGAAGTATTTTTAATAGAATTTTAAGCACTTGGCTCATAAGACTTATTAATCTAAAATCTGCGCATCGCCTGGAGTTAGCTTGTTTTGGAATGGAAATAAAAATAGATTCTAACCATTCCTCTGGTATTTCCCCAGTATCGTAGATTGTATTAAACAAAATTACTAACAAATCAATGTTATTACTTTCGATCAATTTAAGTATTTCAGGATAAACTTCATCAGGTCCAGGGCTTTTGTTGGTCTTTAATTGTTTAATGACATATTCCACTTCGACTTTTAGAATTGGTGGGCTTTCAGTAACATTATTTATTGTAATGTCTATTCTTTCATCTCGGAACAGCTGTTGTATAAATTTTTCTCATTCTTCTATTTTATCTTTGGTGTTATGAATTAACTCTCCGTTGTTATTTACCAGTGGGCAATGTTGTTTTTTGTGGATGAATGAAAATTCTTTTACCTTCTTGTACATATTAAAGTAATCATGTCTATGTTCTAATTCTTCTATTTCTTTACATTTTTCTTCGAGCCATTTCTCTTTTGATTCTTTTATTTTCCTTCGTATTTATCTATTCTCTAAGTGTCGTTTATTAAACTATTTCGCTTCTATACATTTTTTTTACTACTATTTCATACAAATTTATTACTTTTTAACTTATTATTAATTACAATATCATGTTAATGTTAATGTTTTTACCACTTTTGTATTTATTTAAGAATCTTAATTTTTAGGTGACTTGGAAGAATTTAAGAAGAAAGTGTCACAAAAATTAAAATCTTGCAATAAACAAAATTTAAAACCAAAAGCAATTGTACCCATAAATTTAAATAAAGCAAATGAAGAAATTCCGAAAACTAGATCTTCGCAAACCTTAACAATTGACTTCACATCTCGAGAATTTCCGACTCCTTGCAGAGAATCAAAATTAGAAGAAGAGCATGAATACCTAACTAAGCAAGCCGAAGCAAGAAGAAGTGTTGGTTTTGTAAGTGAAGATATACGCCCCGAAGAGAGAAATCCCCATTTTATCAAAGCCAAAGGAGACGAATTTTTGAAAAATAAGAACTATTTGGGAGCCATAAGTGCTTACAGCTACGGAATAAAGCTGAGCAAGAATTTCGTAGATTTCTACATCTGCCGGTCTGAGGCGCACATGGGCTTGGGTAATCTTTGGAGGGCCATCGAAGATTGTAGTACCGCATTGGATCTGCTTCAGCCGATTTGCGAGGCCAATTTGTATGAGAGAACCATATGTAGTGGCCGAAGAGGTGAAGCTTTGTGCAAATATGGTAAACGTAGACAAGGAATTGGAGAACTTAAGCATAGTTTGAAGCTTATTGATTTGGAGTATTATAGAGGTATTTTGGAGGTTGAAGAGAAGCTTTATGAACAGGAGCTTGAACTTTCAAAACAAGATCAAATTGATAAACAAGTGACAGAGAAAAAAGAAGGAAATAAAGAAAGTTAAACAAAACAAATCGTGGTCAGCTCAAAAAGTATGTAAAAGCATCGGAATTGTTATTTGAGTGAATATTTTGTTGTATTGATGGTGTTCTTCTAAGCAGCGTCTGGAATTTGATTTATTACCTTTCTATATCGGCACGAAAGAACCACAATGAACATTTTATTATGGATTTTAACATTTAATATACATCATCATCATCATCCAGCCGAATTTTCACATCCATTGTTGGATAAAGGCCTCCTCCAAACGTCTCCAGTTCTCTCTATCTCTAGCTGCTGCAATCCAGTTTGTTTCTATTCTCCTTAGGTCGTCGGTCCATCGGGTGGGTGGTCTGCCTCGACTTCGCTTGTCGGCTCTTGGTCTCCACTTCAATAATCTCTTCGTCCATCTTCCGGATTCCATTCTAGCAACATGTCCAGCCCACCTCCACTTTTGTTTATTGATTCGCAGGTCTTTCAAGGTCAGGCCCAGCATTGATCTCTCCATTCGCCTTTGTGTTACCCTCAGTTTTTCGGCAGTAGCTTTCGTTAAAGTTAACGTCTCTGCTCCGTAGGTCAAGACTGGTAAGATGCATTGGTTAAATGCCTTCCTTTTCAGGTGAATTGGGATATTTGTTTTAAAAATGTCTCTCATCCGTCCATATGCCGCCCATCCCAATATGATTCGTCTATTTAGCTCGCAGGTTTGGTTGTCTCTGGTTATTCTAATTTCATGACCCAAGTATATGTATTTATCGATTAATTCTACCCTGTTGTTATTGATCTGTATCTCTTCGCTGGAAACCATATTGGTCATCATTTTGGTTTTCTCGAAATTTATCTCCAGCCCAGTTTCTTGTAGTATGTCATTCAGTTCTTGGAGCATGTCTTTGATCTCTCCCAGATTATCTGACAAAAGCACGACATCGTCCGCAAAACGTAGATGGTTTAATCTTTCTCCATCGATGGATATTCCTTTCTGTTGCCATGTTAGTCTTTTAAATGCATACTCAAGAACGGTAATGAACAGCTTTGGTGACATGGTATCTCCTTGCCTGACTCCCCTTTTTATCTTTATTTTATTAGTTGCAGAATATAGACTTATGGTTGTTGTGGCATTTTCATATATATTTTTAATTATATTACAATATCTGTGGTCGATCCTGCAATCTTGTAGTGCTCTTAAGATGGACGGTAGTTCCACTGTATCAAACGCCTTTTTAAAGTCTACAAATATCAATGCCAAGGGACGGTTATATTCGTTAGTTTTTTCTATTAGGGTTTTTAGGCACTGCAGGTGATCGTTTGTGCCGTAATTAGGGCGGAAACCAGCTTGTTCCCGAGGTTGGTAAAAATCCAGCTTTGTCTCTAATCTATTCGTTATTATTCGGGTGTATAATTTATAAAGATGGTTAAGAAGACTGATTGGTCTGTATCTTTCCAGGTCTGCTATATCTCCCTTCTTGTGTAAGAGTACAGTTATTGAATTATTCCACTTTATTGGGACATTTTGATTCCATAGGCATAGGTTGATATTCGACTATATCTAGAGTCGAACGGTTGCTATATAATGTCTCATAGAATGATTCCACAATTTGTAACAAATGTTCTCTGTTTGATGTGATGTTGCCATTTCTATCCTTGAGTTTGACTATTTGTTTATTTCCATTTGTGAGTTTGCGTCTCATTATTTTCATACTCTTATTTTCCTCAATGGTTTTGATGATTTTCTCATCTTTGTATTTTCTTAAGTCTTTTCTGATTTCTCTTGATACTTCCTTGTTCATTCTATTTATATCGTCGTTACTAGAGTTTTCGTCGCTTCTCAGTATTCTTCTTTGTTCCATTTTTTCTGTGTTTCCAGACTAATTTTTTCTTTCTTCACGCTTTTTGGGCAGCATTTCTTTTGAGCTTCTGTTATTGCTTCTACTATTATGTCATTTAGAATGTTAATATCATTTGTTGATGATTTTTCTTGAAGGAATTTACCGATATGATCTTCAAAATTTTGTTCGTTGTTTGGATGTGTCCATCTGTTTATTTGCTTCTTTTTTATCATATTGTGTCGTTCATAGTTGGTATTTAACACAATGGTGGCTCTCACCATACGATGGTCGCTTGATTTCGCAAATTTATTTAGCACTGTCACATCTGTAAATATGTATCTTTTATCAGTGATAAAAAAATCGATCTCGTTTGTCGTGTTCCCATCTGGGCTTTTCCACGTCGATCTGCGGTGAGGTTTCTTGTAGTAGTAACTGTTCATTAGGAATAGGTTTTTCTCTAGTAGGAAGTTTAAAAGAGTGTCGCCACGGTCGTTCCGTCCCTGACTTCCAAAATTTTCAAGAGCAGTTTCTGCTGGATCCAGTAGAATCTGCTTAATATACAAAAATACGTAAAATACTACAATATCAGTTTATCCATAAATCGTACATTGACAGAATTTTGAGAAAGAAATATTACGAATAAATGATGCTTCGATAACGAATACAAAGTTAATTGAAACTCTGACAATTAAAAAATAATTGGGTGTCGTGACAACACGCTACTCCAGTAGTTATCTGTTGGATAATTCAATTTATAAATAATTTCGTTAGGTTTGCTTCTAATTCAGGACTTGCCGTAAAACCTTTTTAATGAATGGACATCATAAAAATTTCAGGACAGTTAAGTTTTGTACTGTTTAAATTGTAAATGCAATTATTGTACGACATATTTGTTAGAATATAAGTAGTACTAGACATAATCATAATTTTTATTTCAACAGAGGTTTGAAACTTTTCTGTAGACTAAAAGAAAGCTTTTGAAATCTAACTAATACGGAATGGCCCAAAAGTCTGGAAAAGGCCAATTATATTGAGGTACAATTTGAGGTACACCTATTTTGGGATACGGAGATTCTATATTTGATATTTGCAATGTTGCCAGATTTTCCGTTTGTCTTATATTATTAGTAACTTTGGTTTTTTAAATTCACCACCCTGTATATTGTCATTATTGAAATATTCTATTCAATACGAGTTCAACCGTATGTCACACATGATTTTATTTAGTCTGGAAGAATCTGGAAGGCGAAAAATGTAAACTGGGAGGCTACGTGTGATGAACTGGACAGATTTATGGGTAGAACAAAAGTGGCACAAGCTTGGAAAACATTAAAGCAGTTTAGGAAAAATGAGAAAAATTAAGACAACATTCCTCTCATAAAGTTAAATGAATGGGAAGACTATTATACGAAACTGCTGAAAGAGGATAGAGTAGAGTACAGATGGGACAAGATAAGGGAATTAATAGATAACAGAGACGAAAGCCAGGAAATCCCTATAATAACACTGTCTGAATTGACGGAAACCTTAAAAGAGGTTAAAAACGGAAAAGCCGCGGGGCCTGGAGACATTCCCATAGAGCTGGTTAAATATGGGCCGACTGCACTTTTAGAATTAATAGTAGACCTTTTTAATAAATGTATGTGTGGAGACCAGGAAATTCCTAAAGATTGGAATAAATCTTATATAAGCTCCACATATAAGAGAGGGAATAAAAGAGACTGTTCCAATTATAGAGGTATTAGTGTGACGAGTTCTGTGGGCCGGTTGTACGACAGAATATTAAAGAAGAGGGTTGAAAGACAGATACAAGATAATGAAGAATAAAGCGGCTTTCGTACCGGGAGATCCTGCCTTGATAATATATTTATCCTACGACAAATAATTGAAAAGCGTGTTTAAAGAAGTAGAGAGACCCATTTGGTATTTATAGACCTTGAGAAAGCATATAATAGTGTCCCGTTAAAGAAAATTTTTGAGGTCTTCGAAAGGTCCGGATTGGATTCGACGTATATCCGAGCGATATATAAATTGTACGAAAATGGAGTTAGTTGTGTAAAAATTGGAACCAGAACTTCGAATGCACTTAAAGTCACTAAAGGCCTAAAGCAAGGATGCTGTTTGTTACCGACACTCTTTAAAATATACGTCCAAGAAGCATTGAGGAGTTGGAGAAATAAATGTAGATTTATGGGCATCGAAGTGGGACAAGAAACTCTGTATACATTGTTGTTTGCAGATAATCAGGTGGTGGTTGCAACCGATGAGGAAGATATAAATTGTATGAATCGAAAATTATTTGAGGAATATGCCAAATGGGGGCTTACTGTAAACATAAGCAAAACATAATATTTAAAAATTGGAGGAAATACCACAGATCTGAAGCTGAAAACACAGTCATAAAATGTTGAAACCAGTATAAATATCTAGGAAGCATCACATCAGCAGATGGCAGAGTTAAGATAGATGTACAAAACCGAATATCCCAAGGAAAAAAATGCATCCGAATACTGAATTCATTACTGTGGTCTAATAAAATAAAGATGCATACCAAACTTCGTGTATACAGAGCAATTGTAGAATCGATTACCATATATGGTGCAGAATGTTGGAGGATGAGAAAGAATGAGCGAGATTAAGTAGACGTTGTGGAAATGGATTATCTTAGAAGGTCATGTCGAGTATCGGGAATGGAAAGAATCAGGAATGAGGAAATACGAAACCGTACTTCCTCACTAATTCGTAGGCAATTGCAATAGTATGATCACGTGATGAGAATGGAGGAGGAGCGGTGGCCAAAGAAAGCCTTAATGTATGTTCCGCCAGAAAAAAGGAAAAGGGGAAGACCACCAAATTCCTGGAGAAGAGAAATTACAAAAACAATGCAATCTAGAGGCTTAGAATAGGAAGATTGTAGAGATAGGAAAAGATGGAGGCTGAAATGCGGTAAGCGTCAATCGCCGTAGGAACCCCGTTATATGATGATGAGGTCTTAAATACATAAAACAGAAGTCTGGCAATGCCTAATTGTCTCAATAAATCTTTAAATACTAACTATTTTCAACTACATTAAAACGTAACAATTGATAGATTATAACATTTTTTAACATTATGGTTACTTTATCAAGTATTTGTTCATTTGTGAGTTGACAGTACCCTAATCGATGGTAGAATGCGTCTACCATATTTCTCCATGATTGTCTATAAATTATTCGAGATTCATCGATAATTCAATGCCTTAGCTCTGCAAAACTTGGTGGTTTAGTTTTGTAAACTGAATTTTTCAAGTATCCCCAATAAAAATAATCTTTAGAATTGAAATCAGGTGAATGTGGAGGCCATTCAATTCTACCTCGTCTATCAATCCATCGTCTCGGGAAATATCTCGTCTAAAAAAATGCCGAATATTTACACCAAATTGAGCTGGAGCTCCATCTTGATGAAACCATCTCTAATCAAAATTGGTCCTAAACAAGTTTCGTTTCAAGTTCTTTTTCTTCTTAGTCGTTAACCTGATGCAGGTATCGTGATATCATGAAGCTATTAGCTAAATTTCCCAATGTTTCTCCACGTTTTTCTATCTTGTACAATTCTAGCACATTCTGACAATGGAACGCCAATGGTAGCAACAATATGGTCCGTGTATCGTGTGGGAGATCTACCTGTATTTCGTTTGCCTTCTACTTTTCCCTGGATGGTAAGTTTTTCAAGACCATTTCTTCGAAGCACATGTCCAAAATAGCTTATTATTTGTTCTGATATTTGTGTACTTAGTCTTTTCTTTATGTTTAGCTGGTCCAGCATTTGTTTTTCGGGCCATTTCAATTTTATACAATTTCATTTCTAACAATTTCATTTCATTTCATTTCATAACATTTCGTAAAATTTCATTTCTAAGTAATATTTCGTAACTGTATGACGTTAAATTTCCTTCGATTAAAAATGGCCCAATTAACTGAGTACCTACTATACCTGACAAATATGGTTTTCACGCTTCCAGTGTGGATTTACGTCTTTGCTATTATTTCCATGTTTTTCCTTTGTAAACGTCCAAGTTTGAGAACCGTAGATAAGAACAGGAAGTAAACATTGGTTGAAGACTCTTGTTTTTAAATATGGGGGGTATTTTCTGTTTTTCTCTTTATTTCTCCGGTCTGATTTTCTTTATTTAATTTAAGTAGTTGTCCCAAATATACATATTCTTTTACATATTCTATAGTTGTTTGTGCAATTGTAATTATTAATTCTTCTGTTTGGTTGGTCATAATTTTCGTTTTATTATAATTCATTTGTAGACCTATGTTAGTTGATTCCCTATTTAATTCATCCATCATATTTTGTAATTCTTCTCTTTTATCTGTTATTAATACAATGTCGTCTGCATATCTCAAGTGATTCAAGTATTGGCCATTTATGTTAATACCCCGTTTTTCCTATTGTAATTTCCTCATAACGTCTTCCAAAGCTTGATTGAATAGTTTGGGTGATGTAGTATCACCCTGTCTGACTCCTCGCCGTATTTTAATAGACTTCGTTTGTTCAACTATTTTAATGTTCCATTAAAAAAAGTGCACGCCTACAGGTTGGTAATATGATGATGATAATGATGATGATGATAATGATTGTTTATGATGATGATGATGATGACGACGACGATGATGAAGATAATGATGATAACGATTAATAAGATGATGATGAGGACGATGATGAACATGATCCTTGTTCGCCCTTTTACTTCTCTAGAGATCCCATTTTGTTAGCTTGGATTTTAGAGTTATCTCTTTGAAGAGCATAACTGAGCTATGAACTTCAAACATACTTGAAATGCACCAAACGCAGACAAATACAATTAACTTGATATAACTTATTAAATTTTATGATATTCTAAATTCTATTCTTCTGCTCACAAGTAAGTAAGAACCGCACAAATTAGAACAGAACTACTGACAGTAAATGGACCAAAATTACTACTAGCATACGCGGATGACATTGGCATTGTAGGAAATACCGTCACCAATGTAAAAGAAACCTTCAATAAATTAGAGAGAGAGGCAAAAATACCGGTCTAAGGGTCAATGAAGAGAAAACCAAATATATGTGCATTAACAAACAAAAGAGACGAGATAGAATAGGACAAAATGTAACAATAGACCCCTATAACTTTAAAAGAGTGGAGAGTTTTAAATATCTCGGAGCGACTATCACCACAGATAACGATATCACGGAAGAAATAAAAGGGAGAATTCAGGCAGAAAACAGATGTATGTATAGCCTCCACAACACTATTAAATCCAAGAGCCTAACACGAACATCAAAAATCAGGATATATAAAACAGTAATTAGACCGGTGCTCATGTATGGGTGTGAGACGTGGACGCTGACAAAAGCAATGGAAAGTAAACTCAGATGCTTTAAGAGAAAAATCCACAGAAAGATCTTCGGTCCCTATCACGATCCGAATACTAACCAATACCGAATGAGAACAAATACCGAGGTCAAACAAATGTATAGTGCTAGCGACGTACTCCAAGAGATTAAATCGTAACGTCTAAGATGGGCTGGCCATATTCATAGGTTCCCTAATAACCGCCTTACCAAGTTAATCTGGGAAGAAGTTCCGACAGGGAGAAGGCCCTTAGGACGTCCACGAATGCGATGGAGAGATAATATATGGTCAGATTTGAGAACAATGGTGCTACCCACTGACTTAAACATCATGGACTACCGTTCGAGATGGAAGCAGGTTGTGCAGTCAGCCATGACCCACCCCGGGTTGTAGTGCTACCAGAAGAATTCTTCTGCTCTAATTATAAGTATTTTAACGGCTCTGTACCTTGTGGAAGATTATTGTGTCAGGGGTTAAATGACCCTTCCTAAAATTTTATTAGGTGTGAGCGTAATATGAAAAATTATTCGTT